TTTCGCGTTACTCATTCCTTCTGGCCAGACGGCCATTTGATCTTTAGTATGTACTCAGCCAGCGAAGGGAACTGTTGACAAAGGCTGTAACTTGTTGGAAATGCTTTTCGTGAGATGCAGTGCAAGTTTTGACCCGTATAGACGGACCGACTTGACACTGATGTTGAAAGTCCGAATCTTGTTGTTTATTCTAAGGAGTGCTGAAGATTTTCTAACTGGTTTCAGGTTGATGAGGGAGTATTTTGCCTTTCCTGTTCTGGCTGGCTTTGACATCTTCATATGTTCTGTCTGCCCGTAGTTGAAACGAAGCTCCTACATAAATGTAGGAAGTAACCTCTGTTAAATCCCTCCCGTTGATGGTAATTGGTGCTAGTTTTTGTTGTTGTGGGTGGGTTATCTTCATCATCTCCATCTTCTCTATGTTCACCTGGAGTCCTGTCTTCTTTGCCTCGCTTCTTCAGCCAGTTCGTTTGTTTACGCCATTAAACATAAATCATCTACGCGTGACATTCAGATCTTCTAAAGTCTTCTTATTATTGATTGGGCGTATTACTGTCTCTTCGCTCCCAAGCACGGTCTGACGCATAATCCAGTCCACCACAATTAAGAATATCATCGGTGATAATAAGCAGCCCTGTCTTACTCCTGTGTTCACTTCGAACGCCTCGCTGAGATCTACAACATATAATCACTACTAAGTGAATTCATCAACTTTGAAAAGGACTTTAGCAACTACTGAGTCTTCAAAACTATGGAGTACAATTTGGCAAACATTTATCAATCTCATTCAGCAGTTTTCGATGGTACTACAAGCCAAGTAATTGACAGTAGAAAGCACAGCGAAGAATTTGAAATGAAGAGTGACGTACCTAATATTCCTGAAAATATGTCTGATTCTGATGAACTGGATCAATAAAACAGAACGTCAGGATAGGAGAGTAGACGGGTATACATTAGAGTAACTCAAAGGCTCTAGAAGGTCTAGATTTTACAGATAATTTGTGTCTTACTTCAGAAAAAGTTCAAGATTTTTGAAGTGAAAGCTAACAAGTTGGCAGAACAGGAAAGCGATGGAGACAGGATTTTGAGTGAACATAAAGGAGACAGAGGGGAGGAAGATACCAGCCTAATCAACCACAGAAAGCCTTAATCACTAACAACTGGAGAAATCTATAGGATGTCACTTCTTCCACTCATCCGGACAGTATCATTTTAGTTATAATAGCCATGAATGAGGATGTCAGAGCTGGGCAGGACTGAAGTCAGTGTTGAAATCTGCTACACTCAGCATAAAGAACAAGATCCGGATCTTTTTAACACTGATATCAAGTCAGTTAGTGCTTCTATATGGTCCAGAGACTTGGCACACGCATCACGAAGAGTATTCACAATAGACCACTGAATATTTTTTTCAACAACTGCATACTTCGCTTGATAACGAAGTCTAGATGGTCGACAGGAAACGACAAGCAAAAAGGAGCTAAGTAAAGAACCAACTACCCAAAATATTTGCAGAGGGAAATGGAGGTGTAATGAACGTACACTGATGAATTCGTTGTTAGACATCATACAAAAAGCATAAATCGGAACCCGACGGGTTGACGACAAGTTTCGCTTATCGGAGGTAATATATAGAAGACCCTGTGAGTAGAAAAAGAAATTTTGTAGGCAATCGTGGAAACAGCTAAAATAGACTGCTGCAAAGGAAGTGAAATTTCGATAAAGCTTCTCAAGGCCTACTGTTTTGCATTCCAAATTCAAGGATAAACTAATAATAAGAGTAATCATTTGTTCAATGTATTAAACAGATGTGGTGCGTTGACTTAAAACAGTCCTGGGGTTCGAAACCCAATCTACCTACTTCACTCTGGTCAACTGAGTAGTGTCATCACCTCATACACAAGCCATGTTTACTTTACAATCTGGGATATGAGACATCTGTTCCAGGCAGCTTGGTTCTAAATGACCTATTGTGCAGTTAGTATAATCCTCTAGTGTCCATGATGAGTCGATACAATCAACTTAACTGAATTCATTCGAAATCTTTGAATTTCAGCCTAATTGGCTGAATGGTCGTATACGGTCTTGGTGGCATAACCCGAAGGTCCTGGATTCGGTTCTTGACGGGATCGTGGCTGCGTACTGTTATCCTTTCTCTTTAACTGATATTCATTTGTGACGAAAATTTAACGATTATAATTGATCCGATATTCCCACAAATTTGACAATTTGATTCCTAGTAAGAAAGCCTCAACGGTACCTTCAGGGAAATAGGGTATTATCCGCCTCTGTTGGTTCACTGGGTTAATGGACAGAGCTTTGACATTTGAAACCCTAGGGGAGATGTCCGAATCTCAGGGTGAACACCACCGCTCAATAGAATACAATTATATGTTCAAGTGTTGGTTTGTAGAGATTTGATTGGTTACAGGATTTCGTCATGAGGTGACATTAGTTAGAGAACCATTGGAAAACGTGGGAGTACTGGACAGCTGTTTCGTCCTAGTTCGGGACTCTTCATCGGGATTCGATGTTCCATAATGTCATCTCATGATGAAATCCTGTAACCAGTCAAATCCCTACAAACCAACACTTGAATATCAATGAGATGCTCACTAGCGACTTGCCTTATTCAGGTAGGTAGTTACCTGGGGTTCTAGTCAGAAGTCGTGACCAGTAGGGTACAGCAGGTCGGGTGTGAGGACAAATACTCGCCGAAGACATTGGCCAGTGGTTGCGCTATATCGTGAATTGGCAGAAGTTAGAATTTATGGGCTGGCCATTGGATCAGTTCCCAGTGGCTTAATGGTCTCGCCTTGTAACCAGGACGTCTTGGGTTCGAATCCCGGTGAGTGCGTACTGCTGAAGATTCTCAAGAGACTAGGACGAAACAGTTGTCCAGTACTCCCAGTTGGTTTTCCAATGGTTCTCTTACTAATGTCACCCCACAATTATATGTATCTGAAGGGTCCTAAATAGAAAGAATAGCGCCTTCTTGATTTCACTGTTAACCCTCCAGCAAACAAATAACATCTTTATAAAGTTAATATTGACAATAAGACAGTTACTTCAGTGAACTGTCGAGTTAAAAAATACAATGAAGTTAGCGTAAGTGTAGAACTCGCACACTGTGGTAGAATGTAATTCCATAAGTTTATTTCAAAAATCACACAGTGATGATGCAATATTATTAACTGGATGACTTTTAGAGCACAAATTATTACTCATAATCGCATCAGTTAATCACATGACTTCATGATAAGCCTTATATATGTATTTATCTCTCTTCCCCTCACTGTTTATTACAAGTTTCCATGTCTCCGACATAGACGTTGCGTCATTTTGATTGTATGCGTGAGGTATTGATGTATAAACAAAGACTCGGTGATTAACCTCTCTCTTCACCTAACTATATTACCATTTAATACTCTTACCCTGTTCCATCTTGTGGTGTGTGACGATTACATGCAAGTGAATGTAATGCAATGCAGCAGTCGAGTTTTTTTAGGTTACTCAACTCTCCAGAGTCAATCATTCTAAATGTGGCTAAATTTTCATGTTCCCATAAGCGATTTGACTCCGTCCTACCGGTTTCACGTATGTAATTGACTTCATGGTGAAGCTAAACTTTAGGCACCACTAGCTACCAATGGAGTGCGACCGCACTGGTGACCTTGAAACACTTACTGAGCAAGTTAGTGAAACCTGACAAACAATTTTGTCATCATCACTGAAATATGCTCTTCGAAGTGTTATGCTATTCAGTGGGATACCTGGCAAGTTTCAGCTTAGGTTTGCTAAAGACTGAGTTATGCTTTAATCCAAGGACAAAGTAGGATTAGTCTAACCTGATAAAGGCGACATTAGGGTTGGTTCGAGTTAGATTACAGTTAGTTTAGGGATATTTTCATGTTAGAGTTAGGTTCAGGAAAGATTAGGGTTATTGTAAGGGTTAGAAGACCCAAATAATTACATGCATAGAATATGGTTAAATTATTCTGTTGATATATGAATAGTACTTGTGCACTATGGTAGAGTATAATTCCATTGTGGGTAACACTTATTTTGATAGAGTCTCACAGTGTTATACAGTAATATTTATTGATGACGTTTCAAGCACATTTTTATTGCTCAGGAAATATTACTGTATAACACTGTGAGACTTTATCAAAATAAATTTTACACACAATGGAACTATACTCTGCTGATACTTCAGCCTAAAACTGACAGCTATTTTTATCAAATGTGACAGCAAGGTATCCTTTGTTACACTTTTCTACAGTTTTTATGCATTATTTCATAAATTTGTCTATTCCATACACGAAAATGCCTCTTTCAGGTGATTGGTGCTTTTGAGCTCATTCGCTGGTTGGTAGTTAGTGGTACTTAAAGTTTAACTTTGCCGACCTCACTAACAGTCATTACACGGTATTTGGTAAATTATGTTTATTTTTTTGCTTAATTGGATCTATTGGGTCCCTAAGGTGACAAAGTTTGTCTCTGTGTGGGGTTGGTTGGTTTAAATGCCTCCCTAATTTCAATTTCAGCCTCATTGAAAATTCTACTGCTTATGCATAGTGGAAAGCCACAACACAAACCAGGAGAAGAGCCATACTGCATCATGACTGCGTGATATTTAAAGTAAACTTATATAATGTGGAATTAACCTGACGTTAATTTTCAAGAGGTAGTTTGTAGGGGTTTTATTTGATTCGAGTTTGCTCACCATGGATTGTTATCAGACAGAGAACCACTTAAAACCACCGGGTAGTTCTGGACAGCCGTCTCGTCCTACTTCAGGGCTCTAATGTGTTGCGCATCCACTGGGGTTTGAATCCATGACCTTCCTATCAGCTTCGTAGATAATTTAGCCGGTGGGACCCGACTCCTTAATGGCTAGTGAATTCTAACTTCCACGAAATCATGATTTCATCGTGGCCGGCACCAGGCAGTATCATGCGCGATTGAAAGTCTTTGGAGAAAAAAAGCAGTCTAATCACCTTTAAGTGTTTGACCTAATTTTCTATTTGTTTCAATTGAAACTTTACACGGGGGCTTCTTTTTGCTTTCTTGTGAACTAGTTATATTTTCAGATGTTTTCATATCTTTTGCATCTGCTGGTTGACTCCCAGTATGATATCCATCCAGAGTAGAGCGTTTTGTAGATTTTTCCAGGGTTGTCGTTGATTTTGGTGGCGGAGGTGGAGCGGCTTTCCTTCCACGTCCTAAAGGAGAAAAAAAGTAGAAAAAACCTCAGAGATGACATAAAAGTTGAGAAGAGAAAGAAAGCTTCAGCGCTACCCTAGCCCTATTATTAGTATTATATTTCATAATTTCTTAACATGTCTCTCCAAAAATATGAGTATAAAAAGCATCTTACTGTGACGTATGCTACTCATAAGGGTTTATAAGTAGTAAGACGGGGTGTGTAAGATGTCTTCTATAAGAACCATCCTGAATAGCAGAGCAATGGATTACGTTGTAAAAATGGGGAATGAAAGATCCTTGTGAACATGTACATTTGAAGCTCTCGATGTAAAAGATATATGCTTCTTGCCAAATAAACAATGCACCTGCTAAGTACTACCGTGTCCTGCTGTTATATTCGTTATTTACTTCCTGCAGCTAGATGAAGATCCCGTGGCCTCAAGCCTTTGATTTGGGAGCAATAGGAGGTCTCCTGAAGGATTTCAAAGCTATTGCTGCGTTTGTGGCCTTCCGAAATTTGATGGTAAAGACAGTGATGCTGAGGATGCTACTGAAAGGCTAAGCGAAAGCTACTTATTATATTTCTCATGAGGCAAGCGTAGTGACTTCCTGGGAGAAGGTCGTTGAGCGGTGGATTTCAGAGTCCGACAGACAAACAGAAGGCGTTGCAGAAACTAAGGTGGCTATGGTCTGTTGAAGATACAGATCCACTGGTTTTGACATTGATACCAACCGGCTTCAAAGATTGATACAGTTGGACGAAGATGGTCACACGAAGACGTAATCAGAGCAAGTGGAACCAAAAAGGTTGGAGCAGCTACTCTTGATACATTTTGTATGGGTACAAAGCCTGCCGCGTGATACTGATAGGTAGTTTATTACTTGTGATATCTTCTACACGAACATTGAATAATGGAGGGATAGATTAAATGGGTGAGAGGAGAAATGAAAGATCCTTGTGAAAGAATACTGAAAATATGAAAGGCGGAAAAAAGTATCATGAAATGAAGAACATGTGCAACTGAAGATTTCAATGTAAGCTTTCTGTATTTTTAAGATGACCGCACATACATGCTTTTTGGGACATCGACGATAATGTTCAAGCTTCGGATAATGTTCCTGGTACCGATTGCTGTAGTTGTGCACGCCGATTTCGAAATAATGAGTGTCTGCCTTGCTTTTCCCATCTTGACTATGTTTGATGTTCTCATTCATGGTGTCTGTGTTTGAAATGCTGCTATCCGGTCAGTTAAGTAAAAGAGGCGATTTCTTTTGAATTTCAATCTGTGATGGTGATTGGTGTTTATTACTGCCGGCTGGGGTCTTCGTCACCTCTTTCTTATATATGTTCACCTGAAGTCATGTCTCCACTGCTTATTCCACTGTCCGCCACATGATAAAGTTTACCATGATCAGGAATATCATCAGTGATATTGGGCAGACTTGTCTTATTCCTGTCTCTACTCGAAACGCTTCCCTGATCTTTTCGTTGTAAAGTTACTCGTATGCGGTATCATCAAATACCTGTTGAATGAGGTTCATCATTAATTCTGGAATTTCACTTTGTAGTTTTGAATCAAAGTCAATGAACCTGGGGTAAAGAGTTAACTACTATCATGAAAACTGCAAAAAAAGATCAAGTTATATTGTCGTCTGTGATTAATTACTTTGAATATAATTCCTTTATGTAGTCATCATCTGACGTGAAACATCTCATGAGTGGAACATCTAGCTTGAGTAGCACATCTCCATTTTGTCCTATTCTCGACAGTCCTTGTCAGCTAGCTCCATCACTTACCTTAGGCTTTCCTCTCCTTTTCAAACGATTTCCTCCATGTCACCCTTGTACCAATTACGTCCAACTCGTCATTTTCCATTCGGGTTCCAATCGAGCGACTGTCTGGAACGTGACGTTACCTAATGGTCTCCTCGCCGGGTATCTGATCAAACTCCATTTTCATCATGAGCTGACATTAGTTAGAGAACCATTGGAAAACCTGGACAGCTGTTTCGTCAGCCTAGTTTGGGACTCTTCAGCAGTACGCACCCACCGGCGTTCAAACCCAGAAACTTCTGGTTACAAGGCGAACTCGTATACCATTAAGCCACTGGGACCCGATCCAAAGGTCCATGAATTCTAACTTCTGTCAATTCACGACATAGCGTGATCCCTAGCCAATTTCTTTGGCGAGTATTTGTCCTCACGCCTGACCTGCTGCACCCTACTGGTCACGACTTCTCGTTAGAACCCCAGGCAACTACCTACCTGAATAGGGCAAGTCACTAGTGAGCATCTCATTGATATTCAACAAACCAACACTTGAATATCAAACTCCATTTATTGAGCAATAGGCGGTTGCGAATATATCTGTAAACCTTTGGCACTGTGGTAGTAAGTATTTCCATATCAGTTTCTTTATTAGATGTATCACACAGGGAAACAGTGTTATTTACTGGATGACACTGTTGCGAACAAAATTTATTGTTCATAATCATATTAATTATAATCACACGACTTCAAAACTTGAGTTTTATAGCTGTCCTTGTTCTCTCCCAATTTGTCGTAGGGGTGGTAGAATTTTCCAGATATCTGGAAAAGGTGTTGAATCATTCCTGTTACACGTGTTTGCAGTTGATTCGATAAACAAATCTTCCGTTATCAATCTCTTCCTCCACCCTGCTGCTACATTAGATCCCATCCTGTCCTATTTTATGGTTGTGTGTAATTGCATGTAGTGAGTGGTTTATCTGAACTATTCTCTAGATTTCTTATCTTATTCTGCTCGACAAAACCACATTTTACTAGGTTTCTGTGCTCTACTATTTTGACAAACTGACTCCATTCTACTACTTTGATCCCACTGCATTTGGCGTAAAAATCATTCCAGCAGGGTATTAGATAAACTGAATTGTTCTGTTTTATATTATTGGCTCCACAAGAACTTTTAACTGACAAATCTTGTTTCTAATTGAGTTTGTGGGGGATTTGAATGACAACCACTTTTATTCCTGCCTTGTTAGGAATTCTGCGTAAGGTGGTTTCCAAGGTTTCTTCCTTGTATAGAATTACTACTGACGATTTAGATTCCCTATTGTTGGTGTTGTCATTATCTTGCGCATGTTTGACATGCATGCCATCATTAATAATAATATCATTATTTTCACAATCACTACTATCATTATTTATTTTATTTTTACAATTCCCTATATTATTATTATTGTTTCCTTTAATTCCTAGAGGAACATAGGGCTTCATTCGTGCGTCTCTATTGCGTTCGGTTCTCTACTAGAATCTTCACCTGCCTCCAAGTCTGCCCACACGCTTTCGTCTCCTCTTCACATGACCTCCTCCGAGTCACAATGGCACTGACGACCAACTCGCCGCTTCCCTTTCGGGTTCCACTCGAGCAATGGCTTGTCTAGTGATGTCACTTGATGGTTTCCTCAGAGTATAGCCAATCCATCTCCATTTCTTCCTGCCTATTTGTTTCACAATCGGTTCCTGGTTGGTTCGCTCATTGCCAGAGATCTCTATTGCTGATCTTTTCTGGCCGGCCATCTGATCTTGAATATTGAGCGAAGACACAGGATAAAAATAGGATTGGTGAAATGTATAAATAATAGAGCACAAAAACTGAGTAGTACCAAGGAAAATCTCACCTTTATGTAAAGTATCTGCAGACGAGTTCGAACTTATCGAATGGTCTCTACTCTCATTGCACAAAGTATGTTCACTTTGCATTTTTATGGCATTTACAGAATTCCCGTTCAGCGTTTTTGTCATCATCATACAGGGGAGTGTATTTTCTTCTACAAATGATTCAGTTGGATAAATCACATTATTATTATTATGATTAGTATTATTATTGGTAGGATACAACTGACCAGATTTTGTAGGACACGGTATACGTTCCTCATCAATTTGTCCAGTTTGCGGATGAAAATGTTGATGAGATTTTTCAACTGAAGCTTCATTTACAAGTCGATTGTAAAGTCCAAAATTTTTAAATTGATTAGTATATCTAAAAACGGTGGAAAAAAACAACAATAAATAAACAAAGAATTCATTGAAGAAAGTTCTCTTATACTACTGATTAGAGGATGTAAGTAGTTGGATACGACACACATCGACTAGCAGTGCTTGTTAGCCAGATCAAAGTTATCTAAACATTGGATGGTCTTTTCCTCCGTTTTGAGCTGAGCTCATCAGCTCGGAAAGTCAGTTTAGTCCCTGAAAACTTCAGAATCAGTGAAGTGTTCGTTAGCGATAGAAGACAGGGCGAAGTTCCCTACAGTTCTAGTGAGGAGTCGTGGCCAGAATAGTCCAATTAGTGACATGTGAGGACAAATACTCAGCCTGTAGTGGCATTGGATGCTGGTGAAAATATATATCACGAATCAGCAGAGATCAGAATTTATGTTCCGACCGTCGGCTTCCATCCTAGTGCTCGGCTCTCCTTGTAATCTGAAGGCACTGAGATCAATCCCAGTTGTCAGGTTGATAGATGCATACTGCTGAAGGACAAAAGAGTTATCCAGTTATCCTTTGTTTTCAATGGTTCTCTAACTGTGGTCAGTTAGAGATCATTCCTGAAATAATCAAGTGAGTTTGTTGTGTATGTTTGTCTGTGTATGGTAAAATGTGACAATGAGTAGAAAAACTAAATTGCTGCGCCATGGCCCATCAGTTTTAGTTCCTCTCAATTCGCCTTTTAGCAAGACAAGCTTTCACTACTCCCAAGTCTGTGTGGAGGATTTTCAACTCCAATTGGAAGTCAGTGCTACTATACGGATCAGAGACTTACACTGCGCGTCATAGAGAGCATCTCAAACAAACTACAGACCTTCATTAACAGCTGTCGTCACTCAGTACTCAAGATCAGATGGCCGGCCAGAAAAGATCAGCAATAGGGATCTCTGGGAGCGAACCAACACAGCAGGAACCGATTGTGAAACAAATAGGCAGGAGGAAATGGAGATGGATTGGCCATACTCTTAGGAAACCATCAAGTGACATCACTAGACAAGCCATTGCTCGAGTGGAACCCGAAAGGGAAGCGGCGAGTTGGTCGTCAGTGCAATTGTGACTTGGAGGAGGTCATGTGAAGAGGAGATGAAAGCGTGTGGGCAGACTTGGAGGCAGGTGAAGATTCTAGCAGAGAACCGAACGCAATGGAGACGAACGGCTGAATCCCTATGTTCCTCTAGGAATTAAAGGAAACAATAATAATATTATAATAAATTCGCGTTTTCTGGCATAAAAACTAGCCAGTATCATCAGGTAATATTTGTCCTGAAATCCAACTCGATAAACTCTAACGGTCATAACTTTCCTACGGAATGTCAAACAACTTCATTATGTAATCACTTATGTTCAAGAGTTGGTTTCTAAGGAATTAAATTTGTTTTTACGAGTTTGACCACGGATTGATATCAGTTAGAGAACCACTGAAAACCAGAACTGGAGTACTCGACATCTGTTTCATCCTAATTTTGGAAATCATCGGTACTACGCACCCACTTCCAGTGTTCGAACCAAGGACCTTCTGGTTACAAGGCCAGCGGGCTCGTATACCATTCAGCCACTGGGACCCGACTCCTCAATAACCAGTCCATGAATTCTACCAACTTCTACCAATTCGTGATTTAGCGCGGCTGGCACCAACCAATGTGATCGGTGGGAAATCAATCCTCAGTCATTCGCAAGCACCAGATAGATCTTGAAGTGTTGTTCGCACAGATGTGATTGATTTCATGATTGATAGTGAACTGACTTCACTTCATTGGTTACTTTGATTGGACAGTAGTTAATAACTAGTATCAAGTGTTTAGTCTTTTGTTTGGAGCAGACTGGATTCTCTCAGTCAAGTTTGCAATGTAACCAACATGCTGGTGGCTTGCCATCACGGTTCACTCTGAAGTGTTGTTATTAGATGGTTGAAGGCGGTCTACACAGAGTGACACGCGTTCGAATCTCAGGAGAGACATAGGTTCTTTCAAGATTGCAGATATACCTTTCTGGTGAGTAATAAAAAGCACGAAGCCTAGATACTAGGCTTCCTGCAGACCGCCTACAACCACCTAATAAATAACAATAGTTCATTGGTTCGCTAACTAAAGTCAATTCTTGATCAAATTTGAAATAATATTGGTCACCTATTTGTTTGTGATTATCATTCGAATACAGGTGTGGAAAAATAATTTATCTGAGCATGTTAAGTATTCAACCAGTAGTTTAGAATCTAATGTCCTATGGGTTGCGACACCTTTTAATTCTCATTTAACTCATTATATACTAGCATCCCTATTACCGAAAGTCTTAATATCATTTCCAGTCTACTAGAGTCAGATACAACGCTATCACAAAGATGTCCACTGGACACCAGTGAAATAATTAAGAGCTTGAAATTCTGTCTAGAAAGTAATTATTTTACATTTAAAGGAAGTTTATACAGACAGAGAAATGGTGTTGCTACGGGTTCACCAGTCTCCCCAATAGTCATTGATCTTTTCATGAATAGATTCGAAGATAACATCTTTTCAAGCATACTCACTCCTAAAATATGGTTGAGATATGTAGATGATACTTTTGTAGTGTTGAAACGAGATCTACACAATTTATTCCTGCAGAAAATAAATTATGTATCTCCCAAAATCCAGTCAACTTCGCAAGCAGGCAGAATCAGACGTTGGTGAACTACCATTTCTAGACTGCCTAGTTAAGAGGAGGGAAAACGAACATTTTAGTATATCTATATTCAAGAAGAAAACCCACTTCAATAAATATTTAGACTTCAAGTCATCACACCCCATCAGCTCAAAGGTATCTGTCGTTTCAAGTCTTCTTAGACAAGCACACTCTCTGATAACGGATGAGGAAGAAAGAGATTGAGAAATATCAAACATTACTGAAACTCTCAAGCAAAACAACTAACCAATGGACTTCATCAACAAAATCAACACTGACATTGAGTATGGCCGAAAACGCATTCCGAAAACATGGACTTCAACATTTGTCAGTCATTCCATATAGAGCAGAGAAGTCAGACGATATCAGAAGAGTACTCAATAAGCTCGACATCAGAGTTTTCTTCAAAAAATCAGACACATTGAGAAACAACCTTGTCCATATAAAAGACCAAATCCCTAAAGATTCTCGATCTAATTGTGTCTCTAAAATAAAATGGTGGAGTATTATGCGATATACATCGGATAAACACCTCTAGAAATCAAAATCAGAAGAAATAAACACCGTAGAGCATCTGTTCGACCACAGAGAAATCCGGTTGAACTAGGAAATCTTGAAAAATCATCAGCCATAGCTCCTCTACACGCTATAGAATCAGGCCACAAAATTAATTTTGACAATATTGAAATCATCATGCAGAAAAGCATTTCAGAAATCACAAAGAACGTCTTCCATCATCAGAAGCACTTCATATCAAGTGGAATCCAAACTGTCTGAACTAAATAGGAATGATAGATTAAAACAGAATTTGACCTGGTTACAACACCTCCCTCCCCCATGAAGTGACAAAATCAACACGAATGTGATAAGCAATTTCATCATGTAAACACACGCTTCTTTTATAATTTTCATGTGCTTGTCAAATCCAACCAACAATGTACACCTGGTTTTTTATCTTTACCAACTGACCAACTTGACAAAGCAAAATTGATCCCATGCTGAGGAACGATGATTAAGTTGCTATATATAAGCTGAGATTTTGTAAATTCTGGTTAAATAATGCTACTTTGATAAAGCTATTAGCAGTAGCATTAAATAGCGAAACGTCAGTAAAAACAACGACAATATAGTTTTGTTTTTCATTCATTGATTGGGAAATACAAAAAACCTTTATTATAATGAATATCATTAACCCACTGCCCAATTTTTTTCAAACTGTTAAAAGTGAACTTCGTTTGGATCTATATAACATTTTAATTCTCTCTATTCTGCTACCATCTAAGAGTGTCATCAACAAGTATTTGTACTCACAACAGACTCCATGGTCACTACTGGAGACAGTTTCTTATTAGGGAAACCGATGCAAGCTTGGGTTTGTACGTTAATTATCTGATCACGAGGAAACTTCAAGCACAGTTGACATAATTCATCAATTTTGAGAAGACTACGCATCGAAATACTGGAGGTATTACTTCAGGAACAATATCCTACAAATGTGTTGTAGACATATAATCTTTTTCTGGTTTGACTGCTGAATGATGTTACCTAGAAAACCATTGGAAACCAACCAGGAAGTACTGCACAGCTGCTTAGTCCTAGTTTGAGACTCTTCAGCCGTACGCTGAAGAGTCCAAACGCAAGACCTTCAGGTTACATGGCAAGCTCATAGACTATTCAGCCGCTAGGAGACGTCTCATTGGCCCATGAATTTCAGTATGATGCCCTTTAATTACTGGCTACATGACGAAGTTAGTAGCCTGGAGTTCTAGTGAGAAGACGTAACAAGTAGGAGAATGGGAACAAATACTTGCCGACAGCATTGGCTGGTACCAGTCGCACGAAAATCATGAGTTTAATTGAATTTTAGGTTTTCCCACCAATTGATTGAACTGAAGAGCTAGGTCTCAGGTTGACATGTCGGCTTCTTTTGCAGATATTTCGACGATTTTTGGGCATTTAATTAGAATTTAATTAGTGGATGGTGGCTAGCTTAGGCGTTTGATACTAAGGGCACTGTGTCTGAGCTTCGGTTGGAACATCATCATTCACTGGGAAATACGGGTACATCCAGCTGGCAGGCGAGTCTCAAATAGGACGAAATGTGCATCCTGGATTCCACTGCTAGTCACCATCCACAAATTAAAATCACGAGTTGTTAGAAGTTAGAATTCATGAGTCATTTGAGTCGAGTTCGGGTGGATGAATGGTATTCAGACGTTTCTTGTAACTAGAAGGTCCTAGGTTCGTACTGATGATGACACTCAAGAGACTAGGGCGAAACAGTTGTCCGGTACTCCTTGGTAGTTTCCAATGGCCCTCTAAATGATATCAATCCGTGGTGATCACACATGAAACAAATCAAATCCCTACAAAAGAAAAGACGTTCAGCTAAGAGTTACTCTCTTCGGCGATATCATTCTTAGGCAGGAAGTCACAGGTACATAGCAACAAAAGGAATATTTCCAAAGACGTGTCATTAGAATTTTTAATTTTAGGTGACCAATTACGTAACGTAGAACCATGTAGAAACTAAAATAAAATTAAACAAGTAAATTGAGCGACGTGATATAATTGAAAGGGTTGAGTAGAATTCAGCTAATACTTGAACGAGAGTCAAGTTAACAACAGTGGTAATAAGGGGAATCCCTACAAACGGACTCTCGAACATATCATCTGTTTGGCAAAATTGTCACGGATAAGAAATCCAGTGTGAGAAATCAACACGCAATCAGAAGTCTTTTTACAATTGCCACTATAAGAAGTTACTTTTTATTTCAGAAGCCCTTTTCGTGAATCCACTTGAAGAAACCATTACCTTTATTTCCTGACGAAAGGTATCAAATACGAAAAATTGCATGGCGAATCATAAGACAGTAAAATTTCAAAAGAAAACGTCAACTCAGACTTACTTATACAATCTTTGTCGTTGTATACAACTCTTGATATAATGTGACAGGATACGAACTGTCTTGGCAGTTGCTTCTGGTAGCATTTCATTCGCTTCAGCTGCCATTTGTAAGACACGATGTAAATTGAAACCAGAATGTGCCATACCTAGTCGCCACATTAAACATGGTAAATAGAATAATAAAGCTTGTGCAGCCATTACAATCGGTGCCCATTGATAATAAACCAGCAGGAGTTCACGTCTATCTGGTACTGGTGGTAAACGATTCTCAATCGGTGCAAAATAGGTATTTGCTACCCAACAATAGTTTTCTGCATATTCTTCCCAACCTCTAGTGAATTCTTGAGGTATCCAACATTGAATTGGCTTTCCTAAGAAATGATTTAGAATAAAATAGCATGAAATAAGGGTTCTGGAGAAATACAGAGATGAAAGCTAGGCGTAAAATTCTTCCCCGTTTAAATTTCATCAGATGAAGGTACCAACATCTTCAGGAAGTAGTGGTGTTCCTACTGAAGGCTGAGCTCAGTATCTGTCGTTTTAGATGGAGAATCAGTATCCTCTAGGCATCTTTATGGAGAGCTTGAATATCAGTAAAAATAGCAGTCAAGGAGATGTTTTAATTAGTTTTGACAAATGGTCTTCTTTCAAACTAGTTCACATTGGCGATTCGTAAATTACCAGTATGGCCTACAGGCAAAAATCAGCAGACTGACAGAAAAAGCAGCCAATAAAGGACGTCAAGTGAACAAAGGGAAGACGGAGGTGACGGAGATAACATGAATAATAACAAGCACCAATCAGTTTCAACGGGAGAGATTTGGAAGAGGTTAATTGCACTACTTATCTAGGCATCATCCTTTCAGAGGCGGTCAAATCCACGGATGAAGATGTCACAACCAGAATCGGAAAGCTGAGATACACTTTCGTCAGTCTGAAATCAGTTTGTAAGTATTCTGTACTCCGCAGCATAAAAAACGAGATCCAAATTTCCAGCACCATTGTTAAATGAGTTAGTTCTTCTACATGGGTCAGAAACTTGTCGCATAACCAAAAGTATATGTCTTAGGCTCCGAACATTTTTCAACGTCTGCCTTCGCTGGCTCAGCACTGAATATCGGATGGCCAGTTGAGAAGAATTAGTAACAAAAATCTCCTTAAGCGGACTAATCAAGGGAATCGATCAAGAATATGCTGCCCAGCAAATTTGCGAAAGGAAGCAGAAGTGGATTGGATGTGATCACGGGAGACTGCTGAGTGATATAGCGAGTTATACACGGATTGAAAACGACGGACTGCACAGGTATTGGCGGTTGATATATATGAGATAGTCCGAGGAAGGAATGAAGGCTTATAGGCAACAATGGATTCAGTCGGCAAAAGACTTCGGAGAACAGGGCGTAACAGCAGTATGGCGATGAAGGCCTTTGTTCCGATCGGAAATCAAGGAAATGATTTTATTTCTAAAATTATATTTGTTAAATCTCAGCAAGATTGTAATGATTAATTCCAACCTTTCGTTAGGCAATCTGGTCCGAACTTCTTCAGGGAGATTAATCGAAATTAAAATAACAGAGGTTTATATATAAAAGGAACAACTCTTGTTTTTAAACCTTGTCCAATCATGAGCCATGCAACAGGCATCAACATGTATTATAAATAAACAAATAAAATTGTAAATTTATATATAAAAGTACATCTCTTGTTTTAAATTGCTTGTCCTGAGGAAGTTCGGACCTGATTGCCGAACGAAACGTTGTAATTAATCATTTCAATTTCCCTGAGATTTTACAAATATAATTATATAAATGTCTACTTCTAACTCATCGCTCAATTATTTTGCAACTATCCGGTCAAATCTCGATCAAAGTTCATATGAAATAATTTTATCATTATATTATCATTATTATTCCATTGTATTCCGGGCGAAACAAGGGCTTCACAAGCACGTCTCAGTTCTGTACTGCTCTCTACATGACTCATCAGCTGACCCCATTGTCGCCCATTAGCTTCCACCCTCCCTTCACGTTACCCCTGGAGAAAAGCCCAACCCTTGGTTTCCCACATGGGGTACAGTCAAGCGATGAACCGGCACGCTGTGTCACGCAACAGCCGCCTCAGCGTGGATCCGGTCCATCATCAATTTCGTCGGAATATTCTCTTATTGAACAATAGATTCTCGATTGGTTCATTGACAATATTGAATTAGCGAAGGCAGATGTTGATAAATGTCTGAAGCCCAATAGGGATACTCTTGGTGATGCGACAAGTTTCTGACCCAATACGAAAGAACTGCCTGACTTGAAATTGGTGTTGAAAATCCGAATTGTTTTGCTTTCAGACAGATTTCAGTATAATGAAGGTCTTCTTTACCTTACCGATTCTAGTTTTGACATCGTCATCCTAGCGGACTTCCTGCTTATGAAACGATGTTTTCTAGATAGGCGAAGGAATTGACCTCTTTGTTCACCTGAATTTCTGTCTACACTGTTTGCTTCTTCGTCCAACTTGTCGACTTTCGCTTGTAGGTATTCAAGTTCATATGAAATTAGACTCAAATCGTATTGGAAACCCAGATCTTCTACAGTCTTCTTATCTATCGTCCAGTGTATTCCTGTCTTCTTCTTCTTCCTGTCTCCCCACAATCTGTCACATAAAAATTGAAAATATTTTTTAACATGAAAAGAATTTGGATGTTTGTAGACTGTACAGTGACACGACCCACACAGAATCATTCCAGCACTACTACGGAAGAGTTCTTCTATAAACGTGTAGGTGGCAACGTTAAACAATAGTGTTCCAGGAGTGTGAACGCTCTAATGACCTTGAACACGCATGCTAGTCGTTGGCTAACGGTACTTGTCATTATCACAGCTGAAATATCAACGCTATTCACCAGCTAAGCGGCAAATTTCACCCGGATCACGTTTTTATGTACTCTTTAGACAATGTGTTAATAGCTAGTTAGAGTTAGGATTAGGGTTAAGGTAGGTATTGGGTTAGGGTCAGGATCAGGGTTATCATTGGCATTAGGGTTAGAATTACGGTTTGGATAAGGGTTATGATTAGAGTTAGGATTGAGGTTAAGGTTGCGATTAGGGATAGATTTATAGTTGATATCATTTATTTTAATTTGTTGTATTATACACAATTTCCTGGTAAGTAGTTGCCGATCTTCTTACTGGAAACCATAATAATTCAACCGATGGCTTTTGGGGAAGACTGTTCAACAGGATAAGAGAGTTGAAAGATTCAAAACAGCAGCTCATCTTCACTCACCTCGATGAATACATGTACAGAAACTAGTATAACTTAGCAACTGATACTCCTCATCATCATAACTGGGACGTATTTTTAAGTCATGTGTCAAAGAAAGATTCCCTGTTTTTAATGTGTTTTCATGCATTTTCTTGTAAATACACATCATTTTTTGTGGAAAAATTCATTCCTCATTTTTATGATTGGTCGGCTGAAGGTCACTCGTGCGTTCGCATCTCTTGGGATGCTATTCTTGAACTTCGTCAACTACACGTATAGGGGAGAACTCTTCCGTAGTAGTGCTGGAATGATTCTGTGTGTCGTGTCACTGTACAGTCTACAAGCACGTAAATTCTTTTCATGTTAAAAACACTTTCAATTATTATATGACAGATTGTGGGGAGTGAGAACAAAGGAATATACTGGACGACAGATACGAAGACTGTAGAAGATCTGGATTTCGAAGACGACTTGCGTCTAATTTCATTATAATTTCGAAGACTTACATGGGAAAGTCAATAAGTTAGAAGAAGAAGCAGACAGTGAAGACTGAAATTCAGATGAACATAGTAAAAACGGAGGTGATGAATAAAACTAGACGAGGTCACTTCCTTAGCTTATCTAAAAAACATCGTTTCAATAACAGGAATTCCATCAAAATGTAGGTGTCAAAACTAGAATCGGAAAGGCAAAGAACACCTTGATAATACTGAAATCTGTCTGAAAGCAAAACAATTCGGATTTTCAACACCAATTTCAAGTTAGGCAGTTTTCTCATATTGGGTCAGAAACTTGTCACATCACCCAAAGTATCCCTATTGGGCTTCAGACATTTATCAACATCTGCCTTCAATAATTCAATATTTTCAATGAACCAATCGAGAATCTATTGCTCAATGAGAGAATATTCCGACGAAAATGACGATGGACTGGACATACGCTGAGGCGGCTGTTGCATGACATAGCGCTCCAGTTTGTCGCTTGAGTGTATCCCAAGTGGGAAACCAAGAGTTAGGCTTCTCTCCAAGGGTAACATGAAGGGAGGGATGGAAGCTAATGGGCTACCATGGGGCCAGCTGATGAGTCGTGGAGAGAACAGTGCAAAACGTAGAAGTGCTTCTGAATCCCTTGTTCCGCCTGAAATCCAATGGAATAATAATATAGTGATAAAATAATTTCCCTGAGTTCCGACTGGAACATAGGCCTTAGCACTACACTTCAGTTTCGCGCTGTAGGTAGACCTATCAGTTATTTATTTCACCTTATTCTGGTGTTTGTAAGTATTATTCCTTGATATGACTAACTTTCTATTACTTATATATCAAGTATTGGTTTGGTAAGGATTTTTTTAAATTGCATTGAGGATTTCATCATGAGCTGACATCAGTTAGAGAACCACTGGAAAACCTGGGAGTACTGGACAGCTGTTTCGTCCTAGTTTGGGACTCTTCAACAGATGAGGCAGCAACTCATCTAAGAAGACATTGAGAAATGGTTGCGCTATGTCGTGAATTGGCAGAAGTTAGAATTCAAGGACCACTGGATCCCAGTGGCTCAATGTTCTACGAGCTCGCCTTGTAACCAGAAGGTCCTGGGTTTGAATCCCGGTGGGCGCGTACTGTTGAACTGTCCCAAACTAGGACGAAACAGCTGTCCAGTACTCCCAGGTTTTCCAGTGGTTCTCTAACTGATGTCAGCTCATGATGAAATCCTCCATGCAACTTATATATCAGTTATTAGGGTGCTTTGCTGAATTGTCTTTTATCTCCTCTCTTAATCAGATGACCTAATGGATGAGATGACTGTTAAGAAGCTGACAAGTGTTGTGAGAATGTCATTAGGTGAATGACAACATACACTCACACTTACTCACACTCAAACATACCCACACATTTTTATACATTAACTAACAAAACAGACTTTCTTCCATCCTATTTATGATTATTGATAAAAAATATCATCCATCGACAATCACTTAAGTTGAGTTTTAAGAAAAGTGTTAATGGATCACATTTGATTTCAGATCTGATTAAGTTGATCAATCAAACAGGTGATTATTAATTATCCTGTTACTTATTGTGATTTTTTAAATAAGTATTATTCTCCCAGGTTATTAGTGATTACTATCTAGATTGGTTGATGTTTAATGTTCCATATTACTTCAAGTGTTTATAACAGAAAGAAGTTGGGTTATCTCTGATTAGTCATTTTCAAATATATATTTAGGAAGAATTTGATATATTAAGGTTAAGCAAGAATTGCCTATTTTTCATGGGGAAAGATAGACCAGATTCACAGGTCCTCATCATCTGAAGACTATCTGAAATTAAAATGGTTATATTTCGATGTGGTTTTGTTCTCTGAGCTGGATAGTTAATTAACGAAGCTTTCATCGCCCTACTAGGCGAAATCTTCAGCACATACTTCAATATGAAGTGATCTTTTAGATTTCTCCACGAGTTTATCTCTCCTGATGGGTGACCTTGGACGTGACTAGTTGTTTTTGTGTGTTTTCACACCTTCTAGGTTATTTGCATTGGAACTGATTGTTTCTTTGACGTGAAGTTTGACCCTTTGTGTGCCAGATTTCCTTCTTATCGATTGGTAAATGTTGTCCATGTCGATGTGTTTGTTGATTGACGATTCACTGGAATACCAGACAGGCTTCTAAGAATTCTCTAGCATTCTTGGTGTTTCCTCTGTCTGATATTTGAATGTTGTCCCAGTCGGATTGATGTCCGTGGTTGTTTGTATGGAGCGATATGAGGTAGGGACTGGATGTCATGTCTTTTGATGGCTAGTTTATGTTTGAGTACACGAAGGCGAAGGAGACATCCACTGTGGCCAATGTAGTGTTTTTCGCAGTCGTTGAAACTTATTTTGTAGACGACATTTGTTTTATCTTCTTTCGTTGTTGAGTCTTTTGGTTGACACATTCAGTTGAGTGAAATGATTTTGTTGGTTTATGTGCGACATCAATTCCTCATGGTTTCAAGAGTCTTGCAGTGATTTCTGAGATGTCTTTTATATATATTTGGGTGATTTTCTTTGTGGTTTCCTTGGAGACTTTTGGTTTGGTTGATTGGCTGGGGAATAAATGTCTTTTGATGAAGTTCCGTGGATATCTATTCTCTTGGAAGACGTCCATCAGATATCTTTCTCCAGTTTTCCTTAAAGTAGGAGCTGTTGCAATGAGTCCTGGCCCTCTTGAATAGCGTTTGTATACAACTCCTTTTGTGTTATCGAATAACACAGTAACAGCTGACTAACACTTACAGTTAGAAAACTTCAAATCGCAGGCAACACCTGAGTAGAGGATCCGAAGAATGTAAAGCTTTGAATCCGTAGATGAGGAGGTCGCTCTCTTGAGGAAAATACTGCTTTGGAATGGCCACCCCCATCTTTATAGATAAACACACAAAGCCCAAAACCGGTATGCTACACATGAGTCTGTCTTTCAAAGGCTACTTTCTGATCTACACTCTAAGGAACAGAATATCTAACTCCCTGAGAAGAACAGTATTTGCTGCTACAACACGACTGGTATTCTCTTGCCACCCAGTTTTCCTCAATAAAGTCTCATTTAACCACTTCTATGTGTTTCTAATAATTCACTTGCTCCTGTGTAGCGAGATATGTAGGTCGTTTGATGAGAGTCTCATCTAAAAGATTCAGGCGACATTATCCCGCCTGGTTACAGAAAGTTGTCAATGGATCACTAAACATATATTCAGCACTGGCCACTTATTATGTGTGAGGAAAATTTCTTCAAAATTGTCTACAAGGGTAAAAGAAGCCTCCACAAAGCAGTATGCTTCCGTATACTTTGCACTGCTGCGGCCTTAGGGATTTGAATGAAAACCTCCAACTTATGTACACAAAAGCCACTCGAGCAGAAGAATCTAATATTGAATGTTTTGCATTCCTTTGAGTTACGAGTGAAACTTACAACAGCTTTTTGAAGATTCACAAGCAGCGGTGCTTTTTATCTTTATGGCATGAGATTTAAAGCCTCATGGCTAATCTTTCTCTCCTGCAGGGATTAGCACGGGATAATTAAGGTTTACAGGTGTGTTGGCTTGGAATAGAATATAGGTCTCCTGGCTGGCTTGTAAGAATTCTGCCATTGTACCACCGACGACCGCCTCATTTATAATGGAGGATGCTATTAGCTGCATTAATTAATTGACAATTATTTGTAAAGAAAACAGTGGTTTGTAGTTTTCAGTGGTTGATACTTTCTGTTTGTTTTTGATGGTATTGGCTTACTTTTCAAATATTTAGACCATTTCATTATGTATCCTTTGGGCTTCAGGAATTCCTGGTCACACGTCTTCTCATGAAGCACTCTTTTTTAAAATTTGTGTTCACTAGACGTCAGAATAGTGTAAAGCGTTTCGCATCTATGCAACAGAGTGTAATTCCATATTACATGGTATGGAAGGTAGCTTGATTCAACAGCTAAAGATTATGTACATGACATGATTCACAACAGGAATTACAGTAAAGCCATTTGAAGTGAGGACAAAGGTAAGAGAAGGCTACTTACTTGCTACCACCAGTGATATTCCTAATTGTGGTAGACTGAATCATGCATAAAACTTCGGGCAGCGACATGGAGGGAATATGTTGACTGTTGGACAAAAATATTTTATTCAAGTGTTGGTTTGTAGGGATTTGATTAGTTACAGGATTTTCATCATGAGCTGACATTAGTTAGAGAACCATTGGAAAACCTGGGACAGTACTAGGATGGTTTCGTCCTAGTTTGGGACTCTTTATCAGTACGCACCCACCGGGATTCGAACCCGGGCTAGGGGTTCGCGTTATGTCGTGAATTGGCAGAAGTTAGAATTCATGGGCCATTGGATCGGGTCCCAGTGGCTTAATGGTATACGTGCTCGCCTGGTAACCAGAAGGTCCTGGGCTCGAATCCCGGTGGGTGCGTACTGATGAAGTGTCCCAAACTGAACTGGCGAAACAGTTGTCCAGTACTCCCAGGTTTTCCAGTGGTTCTCTAACTGATGTCAGCTCATGATGAAAATCCTGTAAAAAATATATTATGTGAACTCATCTTTGGAGGTAATCTATGTTTCATTTTGCACAAACTTGAAGATTTACGGGTGAAAACAAACGAGTTTTGTGGAATAGGAAGGCAGAGAAGATAGGAATTCAAGTGAATACACAGAAGAATGAGGTGATGGAGATAGCCACCCAAGGAAGAACAACAAATACCAATCACCACCAGTGGGAGAAACCTGAAGGATACCATCTCATTCACTTATCTGGACAACGTCGCTTCAAAAACGGGCAGGTGGCATAAATGAGGATTTCAAAAGACAAGTAAGATCAGGAGAGCAAGACAGGCATTTAGCACTCCAAAATCAGTGTGAACTATAATTTCATGGCAGTCATTGTTTCTATATGGTCCATAGACTTGATGTGAGCAACACCAAATACATTTCCAACTGGCTACTACGGGCTTTCATCAGTAGCTGCTTTCACCTAGTGCTGGTGATCAGGTGGCCGGAGAGAAAAGAAAAGTAACAGGGAGTCTTGCAAGGTAGTGAAGCAGCCAGGAGCTTATTACCCGACTAGAATGTAAGAGGAAATGTAGATGAATTTGACATACGCTGAGGAAGCATTCAGATGACATCATACGCCGAGTTGCCACGTGGATTCTAAAGGGGAAGAGATGATTTGAGTGTGCTTTAAAGTGACATAAAAGAGATTATATGAGAAGGAAATAAACAATTGTAAAACACCGCGAGACAAGCTGAAAATGACTACAGAGAGGCGAATGAATTAGGCAGTGTGTCATTAAAGACATGTGTTCCACTTGGAACTCATTAAAGACTTGAACATACCTTTTCGCAATGAGCAGGAGTGATTGGCAGAAACTAAGAGTTGGAGTGATATAAATTGTTAAATAGTTAAGCGTTGAACCGATCAACTACTTATAGGGTAATTAAACGAATAATCTTGGAAACAAAAGGACAGAGTTCAACAAATTCTATCTATGGATAGAAATAAAATTTAACTAGAAGGATCATAACAAATAACAGGTCACGTAACTAAGGGAAGATATATTCTCATAAAATAGCGAGAAAGGGGTAGGGTGAGTCATTCTTAGATGAGACGACAAAATTTTCTAAACAGGACAGAAGATGACGTAATAAAATTGTATACCTCGCTATCATCAAGGTAGTAGATGATTCACCGCTGTCTCTTTCTGAGTATGTAGATATAGTTTTCATCGTTTGATGGCGATTGCCTCAGCAAAACGTGGCAGACTAGGTTTCTTTTGTCTATTGATTACTTTTAAAGCCTTCAAATTGTCCACATAGCCAGTGTCCAGTAGGTGGCGTGCAGTTGCACTGTTTACTGCTTGTGGGCTCTTTAGTCTCAGGTTCTTTGGTATGTGTTCAGAGATGCGGACAATAACTCTTCTCTCTGTTCTTCCAATGTATGTGCTTTGGCACGTACATGTAACTGGTAGAGGCAGTTGGAGGTAACATGAGGTGGGAGTTTGTCCACTTTTGACTGTCTTCAACAACCAGCTGGTTGTTTGATAAACACATACAAACTTGGCAGCTGGATATGTTCTTTTCAGGGCAGCGTTCAGTTTGCATCTTAATCTACTAGCAGTATCGTCACCTTTGAAGTCAAGCTTTAGAAAGATGGGCGTTTACTGTACAGCACTGTACTTCACCTTGTCAACACAACGTTTCGCATATTTCTCGATAAACTTCTGCAGGTAACCACAATGGATATCTCTTCCTCGATCTTTTCTTCAGAACGAAGCCTTCTTACATGATTAAAACGATTTTCTGAAAAGCTGGAAATACAGCTTCTCCATACCTGCGGCCTGCGGAAGAGATGTTACTTAGCCTAAACACATGTAGGGAAAATAAAGAGTGAATTAATTTGATAATGACCTGCAGTGAATTCTAGGGTGTTTGTTTTTGTCCCGCTTGGAACTCATCAGCTGAGTTTACCTGTATAAGAAGTGATTTATATATTGTTTCAGCTAAGACTCGAACCAAGCACTTATTGTTTCACACATAGAACATTTCGACCCAATAATGATTTTTCTTTTCACTCAACTTACCAACATACTGACGTACACCGATTAGACCAATAAATAAAAATAACAGGACACTTGTATACTGATAATTTAAACGATCCGCGAAATCATCATCAAATTGTAAGCGTCTTGATCCAATACGTCCAAGTTTGGAAAGATTCCAGATGAATGCAGCATCCATTTAAACAGTGGGGGCGATTTCTACTCTGAATAATTGAAAATTGAGCAGTCTGTATTGACGAAGTTTTGATAGGTTTAGTCTGGTTTATTGGATTTACGAATTCATGGCTGTTTTGCAAGGAAGACAGATACAAAGTTAGAAAAAAGTTAAGGCAGTTTGAACAAAATAAAATCAATTATACATATGCATAAAGATGGTATATAAGGTTGTTTAACAGGTAGAGACATTATATATGAGTTGGACACTTTACTTTTCTCACCAACTAAGGAGACATTTATTCCCCATCGGGAATTTTAGTCTTTACTAAACTCTGAGGAAGTCAGCTGCTTTGCCAGTAAGCTAAACAAACCATGACCGATAGTATACTGTCGTCTCTGTTGACACATCGACTCCTCGTATGCACACTTCGATGATATTCAGGGGTTAAACGTGAATCAGCCCTCATTGCCTAGTGAATAACACTTTGGCTCTTCAGATGACTGATGCAGGGTTCAATCAAAGCTGTGCATACATTAGTATTTCACTGGTAGAATGCCCACTAATTACGCTGCAGCTACGGATTCGATTCCCAGCCAAAGCACACCTAAACCTTACTGAAACAGTAGTAAACTTGTTAGAGAGGAAAAGTGTAGTATGAAGCTAGCAATCCTACCTCGTTTAGGACTCTTCAACAATGTGAACTGATAAGCTCATTAGAGATTGAATCCAGAAGCTTTAAATTGCAAGATCAGTCCGCTAGCCATCTATCCGTTCAGTGCTGTGATAACTGGGACACTCTTTACCCAAACAGTTAATCTTTCTCCTTTCTTTATCTCCTTCTGAGGAAGCCAATTTAGTTAATTGTGTCGACGATTTAACTGTCTTCACTCATGTCACTTTCCAGTCAGATTGTTCCAAAAGTCAATAGCTTTTTGTCGGAATTTAGTCAGTGATGCTTGTCGAATGGTATTAATGTAAATCCCTATCATATCCCTCGTGAACGTAACAGCTCTAATTGAAACGGTCAATTATTGTCTGTGAACAAATAACTAAATAGTCAATAAATGTGTTAGGATCACCAGTGGAAATCCTCAAAGCGTCGTCACTACAGTGTACCATGAAAGTGAATTTTAAATTTGACAGTGAACTCTATAGACAGGTAGATTGATTGGCACTGGCCTCTCCATTGGGTCCCGCATTAGTAGATTTATTTCTCAGTAAATTAGAAAATGGTCCTCTAAACAACCTTATTTTATCACCGGTAAATCGATGACACCTTCATTATTTGTGAAAATGATGTGGATTCGAAAGCAATAATATCTCATTTCCATGAAGCACATTCGGGACTTGACCTTGATGCGCTTTTCGATTACTACGTTACATTTACTTAGTTACCTAAAACTCTTATTTTTTGTGGAATATCTTGTCAAAAGTTGCAAAAACTATTGAAATTATTTGCCTTTGAAACACTGAATTTTTGGATATAATACTATTGATAGATAATACCGATAACTATCTATTTGCCACTCTGTGCTTGTTTAACACTAACTAGTATCTATAATTGTATATACTGATGGATTTACATGGAAGGGACCTGAAAGAAACAGCCTCCTTTACCTACCTACCCGGGAAGCATCGTTTCAACTACAGGCGGGACTGACGAGGATGTCAAAGCAAGAATCGGAAAAGCAAGACAAGCTTTCACTACTCTCAAGTCTGTGTGGAGGTCAACAGCATTCAGCATCAAAAATAAGATCCGGATTTTCAACTCCAATGTGAAGTCAGTGCTACTATACAGATCAGAGACTTGCACTGCGCGTCATAAAGAGCATCTGAAACAAACTACAGACCTTCATTAACAGTTGTCTTCGCTCAATACTCAAGATCAGATGGCCGAACAGAAAAGATCAGCAACAGGGATCTCTGGCAATGAGCGAACCAACCAGGAACCGATTGTGAAACAAATAGGTAGGGAGAAATGGAGATGGATTGGCCATACTCTTAGGAAGCCATCAAGTGACATCACTAGACAAGCCATTGCTCGAGTGGAATCCGAAAGGCAAGCGGCGAGTTGGTCGTCAGTGCAAGGGTGACTTGGAGGAGGTCATGTGAAGAGGGGATGAAAGCGTGTGGGCAGACTTGGAGCCAGGTGAAGATTCTAACAGAGAACCGAAAGCAATGGAGACGCACGGCTGAAGCCCTATGTTCCTCGAGGAATTAAAGGAAACAACAATAATAATGAAGCACATTCAGCTATCAAATTCACATGTGCAAAAGTAGAGTCCAAAAGTAAATTTTCTTTTCTAGACGTCCAACTAACAAAACGACCAGATGGCAGGATAAAAAGAATCTGCATTTTTCAAATTTTCACATCTTTGTCCCTCTACGGTATACAAGAAACTCGCTACAGGGTCACAGCTATTTGTTTAGAAAATGCGATTGCAACCGAACTTAAGGCTTTTTGCAACACGTAAACTGAAGACAGCTACCCTGGAAAGTTCATCACTAAACACATTGCCAAGAGGGTAGAAAATAGTTCTCCTGTATCTACTAGCAAGAAGCCTGAATATATATATGTATATCTACGACTGAGGTGACATCCATCCAACTGAAGTAACAGTCAAGAAGCTGAGAAAATCTATTCAAACAACTTTTAATCTTGATAAGTTTCAGTTTGTATTTTCCACACAATCGGTAATAATTCCTAAACTGGAAGATGAAGTACATAGGCTAGCTACCTGCAATTGTATTTATCAATTCAGCTGCTTCCGTGAAGCTAGTTATATTGACTATTGGTATAAAAACTTAATTTTTCATGTTCAGGAACACCTCTACTGTGTGTGAATCTAATAGAGGTGTTGTTAAAATCTCCAACAGTTTTATGTATTAGGTCACTTCGTCCTTATAGACCACAGAGTTAGCTAGCATTGCAGAGTCCTTCTCTATCATCTATCACGTATCGAATAAATGACCAAAAGCCTCTATTTACCGAACACTGCAAATAAAAGAAGCCATTACAAATTGTTTAAATCAACCGGAGCACTGATTGAAAAAGAAGCAGGTCTAATCAGCAACGATCGCCTACTGTGGAAACTATAAATTCGTAAATTCTGTGTTACTTCCCTTATTTTATTTAATAATGAGTAAGTCTAGTGTAGTTTGGAAACTTCTCAAGTACTACGGCGTACCGTAAATATTCATCAACCCTATTCAACAGCTGTACGACAACGGCACATGTCAAGTGATGCACAACGGAAAACTCAGCGAGGCGTTCGCAGTAAACACAGGAGTCAGACAAGGGTGCTTATTATCACCAATGATATTCCTAATTGTGGTGGACTGGAATATGCGTCAGACAGTGGGAAACGAGAAGAAAGGGATATCCTGGACCGACGTGAACAACCTAGAAGACCTGGATTTCGCGCGTGGATGATTTATGTTTGATGTCACACAAAATCGAAGACTTACAAGCGAAAACCGAAAAACTGATTGAAGAAGCAGCAAAGACAGGACTCCAGGTGAACATAGACAAGACGGAGGTTATGAAAATAACCAACCAACAACAACAACATCCAGTGCCAATCACCATCAGTGGGAGGGATTTGAAAGAGGTTGCTTCATTCACTTATCTAGGGAGCATTGTCTCAACTACTGGAGGAACGGACGGACGAGGATGTCAAATCGAGAATCGGGAAGGCGAGAAACACATTCATCAACCTGAAACCAATCTGGAAATCTTCCGCTGTCACTCAGCATCAACAACAAAATTCGGATTTTCAATACAAACGTCAAGTCGGTTCCTCTATACGTACGGATCAGAAACTTGGCGGGTCACAAAGAATATTTCCAACAGCCTGTTGCAGACCTTCATCAACAACTGTTTTCGCTCTATACTGAAGATCACATGGCTGGCGAAAAGAATCACCAACAAGAAACTATGGGAACAAACGAAACAAGAACAAATCACCCAACAAATATGCAGGAGAAAGTGGAGATGGATTGGACACTCGCTGAGGAGGCCACTGGATGAAATCGCGCGTCAGGCCATTGCTCGAGTGGAACCCGAAAGGGAAGCGGCGAGTGGGACGACAGTGCAAGGGTGACATGGAGGAGATCGTGTGAAGAGGAGTTGAAACAGTATGGACTAACATGGATGCAGGTGAAAAGTACAGCAGAGGAGAGAAGGAAGTGGAGACGTGCAGTTGAAGCCCTGTTCCACTAGGAACCCAGGCGAACGACAACAACAACAACACAAGTTTAGTGTTATATTAATGCAGATTATCTCTCTGTAACTGATGTCTTTGATATGTAACCTGTTGATGCTAATGATTCAGTGTAATTTAAAACAGCATTAATGTTGTGATTAACAGTATTTCTTTATTTGCCATTCTCATTGCCATTTAATTTAATTGCCATTCACATTCACCAACTTTCAAATCTTCGTGCCCCTTAGCATGAAGAGAAACCTTATATACTCTCTTTCCTCGAGGATTTGGAAGATATTCAACGAGGAAGTGATCGATGAGGAACTGCATAATCTCCAAGGGACCCTGATGGAAAACGGTTTTCTGCCTAGGTTAGTTCATAAGAATCTCAAATCAAATGAGACTTCCGAACAAGTCTAATCCGTCCCACAGAAGATACTTCTGCTTAATCTAAAATTCAAAGGTGACATCAAAGCATCTGTAAATCTCTGAGGAAAATATACCCCCTCCCCACAAGCCTACGACTGAAATTTGCCTGCAAGAAACTGTTCAACCAGAACGCGAAAGACAAGCTGTCACATTGGGCCACTTCAGCATGCAGGTATCAGTTTGCTTGCTCACGTGGAGCTGAGTACATTGGCCGTACCATACACCAACTTGAAAAACGCGCTCGCGAACACTATCCAGCCTGGCTGGTAAAAGTAGAATGAAAACGCGTATATAGTTCAGTGACAGAACATCTGGTTAATTCAGGACATTCATCACTATTCGAAAAATCCTTCAAAATCATATACAAGATTTCATCAAACCTATCAGAGGGAGTAAAATTAAGATATTTGGGTATAATCAAGGCACTAGCTATCCAAAAGCTCAAACCCAGTCTATGTATCCAAAAGAAATACGTCTAACCTTTGGCCCCCC